GCCGTTTAGCATTACACGATTTTGTGAGTAAATTGCATATATAAGTATAGTGACGAGAGATTCGCTTTTAGCTTTGGCTAAATCTATTTATTATTTCATTCTGTGGCAGCTCTACAATTAAGAACACGATAATTTTAAAACAGTATGTAACTGAAATGACAAAAAGGCTTCAGTCGCTAGCAAGTAGTCTGTCGGCGAACAAATTTCTAGATGCTTCATCAGTTTTCCCCCATGAATTCAACTGTCAAACCTTTGACCAGGGGTGGGAGGGGAGAGACTAGGTTGCTCCTGGAGCGTGACCAAAAGCGTGATCAAGCAAAAAGCAAAGCCTTAGAAATTTCTTCCGCAAAATTTTGTCATCAGTTGAGCACAAGAAAAATCAGAGTCTGTATGGACGGTCGGCGTTCGATGGTATGCTGACGTCATAACTAAATTTTCTCAGATCCATAGGTTTCCCCAATAGGCCATTTCCGAGTTCCCCGGGCCTCTGTTTCAAAACGAGGGTAGGTGCTCGGCCTTTGATAAAGAAATCATTTTTTATTCTATTGCAAATAGAACTCATTTTCACAAGAAGGGTTGTGCACCTAGCCTCATTTTGAAAGTGAGGGTTTTTGGAACTCGGAAGTGGCCTATTTTCTTTAGGTCTTAGTTTTCGCTCCGCACGTTCGGAAGGTCCGCTATTCATTCTCGACCCCCGTGCTTACACTTCTGACTCCGCGCATACGGTCTGGGAAACTCTGCGCCGGCATAGCCAATATCTATTTTTTCTACTTGCTGGGCCCCACAGCGCATGCTCTTCTATCTAACAAACTTTGCTTCGAGTGTACTCTACATCTACTTCATTGCAAAGTGTTGTGCTCCTTCGAAATTATAACTGAAGAAACGATGCCTTTCAAGAATTTTTGAGGTACTTAACCCCTTAACTGCTGAAAAAATAACGCTTAACATTCAAAGATTTGAGATTTGAAGTTTGCATATGCTCGACAGTCGATTATATTTGCGTCGGCTACTTGACGAGGCGGTAAGTGAAACCCGAATGGCTTGTAAAGATAAACGTATGATTATTCCAATAAAATTATCCATATTATGAATTAATCGTATCTTTATTTGTTTGTTCATGCATATTAGGCTGATTTAGCAACAGAACGGGAACGTCATTTGACGACGGGAAAGCGCGCGAAATGGAGTAAACTCGACTTCCGGTTCCCAATTTCTCGCTCTGCCATTGGTCAAGCCAACACCGCGGCAAAACGTCTACGCATGCGCCAGGTTGAGCATTTCCGGTCTCTTTTTCAGTCACACTTTCCAGTCAAAGTCTCCCGCGCGCTTCATTCTGTGTGCAGCTTGTGGTTCAGTTGTTCTGCTTTATGCTGCTCGTGTTTTTGACTATTTTGTAGTTATTGAAATTGCTTTTATGGATAACCAGGCACAGATCACTGAAACAATTAGTCGATTAGATTCAGAAAAGGTAAGATGATAATAACTCAGTGTGTAATTTGGCTAGAGCGTCAGGTAAACTGATTTTCATTCACGAAAATAAAGTATTTGACTGTTATTTTTCACTTAACCTGGCTGAAACTAAGACATAAAATTAAAACGTTATCATTGCAAGCTTGTGTATTGTAGTTCTAATTTTCAGTTCTTCAGTTTCTCAGTCTACATGTGTTAAAGCCGATTCATTTGGAAAAACGACAACACACAATCGCTTTGTAGTTTTGTTTACCAGTGGGTTTTACCGTGTTTTAAAACGAAGCTCTTCTGGGTTGATTGCCATGAAACATAAGCTTAATTATACTGTCGAGCCGGTTGGCAGCAAGTTGACAACTCTATTTATTTATTTTTCCATTCTCAGAATCAGAGAGCGAAAGCTGGTTCAGTGGCTTTTAGAAGTCGAACTTTTCATGCCATGTATTTAGCAGCTAGAAGTTTCGTGTTTGCACGAGATGCAGCCGAACCGCACAGTCTGAAATTATTGAAGTCTTCAACAAAAGAACAACCATGTAAAAGAATTAAATAGGCATTTTCTTGAATGAAAGTCATTTATAGGCATGTTTAGTTTCCCGGTGACTGCAGTCATCAAAGTCAAAGTTGTTATTAAATCCCGCCCATCTTTTGTTTTGGGTTCTTGTTTTCTCTGATAATAAAACAAATTATTGAACGGGCTAAAATTTTATTTCCTGGTTTTAGTGTTTTTTATGATAATGATGACGTCTTTATTTTGGTTTCTTTCATAAGTATTGTTATTCTTTTCTTAGTTGTCGCCTTCTCCCAAATTAACTTATGCCAAACCAGTAGCATGCAAGAAAGCCAGTAAAAACAAATTCGTCTTGTCGAGCGCTCGCGACCTGCAAACTTCAAACATCATTTTCACCGTTGGTGCAAACAGATAACCATGTGGTGCAAAAGTTTGAGAATAGAAAAATATATAAGCTTTCGAATGAAGTGATTTTTTTGGCCCCCTTTTCTGTCTGTTTCGCCCTTTTTGCTTTTAAACTTGGCGCGACGGCAAAGTTATACTTACGCTATTGGTTTATATACTAGACCGGAAATAAAAAGCTGACCGGATATTAAATTTTGTGCTCATGCGCATTGCGTTTTGCCGCGGTGTTGGTCAAGCCATTTGTTTGATTTGCACGCGCCGTCGTCAAATGACGTTTCCGTTTTGTTGCTAAATCAGCCTAAAAACGTTTCAATAAAGCTTCAATAAAGATATTGTGGGAAACGAATACAACTATAATTATGCAGGTCTATTCTAGTCGCATTGTACACGCACAGAAGCATATATTCTTCTGACACGCATCACCGATATATTTTTATAATCTATTTACCTTTTACTTGCAAGTCTGTTTTTGACAATTTACCAGATAAAGCTAATGTTTTCATTTATACTTGTAATGTGTCCTTGCATGTTCATTTTATTTTAGTGGCGGATCCAGGGGAGGGGCCGGGGGTCCCGGGCCCCCCCTTATTTTTCGACTAAAATGAGGCCCATAGGACCTAAAAAATTTTTTTGGATTCTGGGCCCCCCTCTTATCTCAGGGTCTGGATGACCGGCATTTTTTCTTAGTCAGGGTTAAAAGCTTTACACTAATTTTTTTTTCTTACCTAAAAACAAGTTGTTTCATTAGCTTTCATTAATTGATTCTGTGTTATACCACAGAAAAACTATTCCTTGAAATACGACTTAAAATATTATTTACAACAATATATTACCAGAGGTTTTTAAAGATATTCTGAGAAGACAACCTAAGTTAAAAAAACTTAGCTTTATTCAGTTGTCAATACCTCGACGTAAATGAGTTGTATCCTAGGATTCCCTTTGTGCTTTTGGAGAACAATGTTCTGGATGTCCGTTATCCGTTATCCGTGTCCGTTATGTCCGCTCTAATCTCGGATAATTATTTCATTGCGGTGAGCGCGAATTAAAGAACAGTGATGGAATTTTCTAGACATAAGAATAGATAGATAAGGTATTTCTGTACGAAATATTAGGAAACATTTGTTCTTTCACTAGGCCCTCTTACAAGGTCTTGTAGGGGAGACATTCTTTATTTATCTACCTATATAGAAGACTGAAATTGGACGTTATTATTGGGAGCTTCTCGATGATTATAAAATAATAAGTTATAGCTTAACTATTCTAACCAATGAGGTCTTATCATAATTCACTCTGAGAATTTTCTTCGAAAAGTTTTGAATTGTTTCCTTGGTACATATAGCTCACCTTTTATTGAGGCTGAAGAGTAGACTCCCTCGAAGTTAAAAAATCCAAGTTCATGATACCTTTTAAAGGTTAACATCATGAATTTACCACTTGTTTGTACGACGAATTGGCGTCTAGATCCACTAAAAATACCCAGCAACGTATCATTCTTACTTTTTCCATCAAAGACTTTAATTTCGCTCCTATAGATCGAATAATCAAAGAGATTAAATGTGGTAAAGGTCAACTTGACAGTGTGGTTAGATTCTGCTGTAATAATCCACGTGCAATTGTACATGGAGTAGTTGTTGGTTGTACTGGAGCTGATGACCCCATTGGAGCTACCCAAAGCGTAGAAGCATGGATCGGCGTGCACATCTGAAAATAAATACAAAAATTATAGAAATTATATTTATCATGGAAATAATTATTTAACAGAACCGTCAATTTGCAGCTTTGAATATTAAGAGCATAAACTGCCTTGAGGTTACCCTAAAAAAGAAATTCTTACAAGAAATAATTTCTGAAAATTTTAATAAAAAATAGGTAAAACTGTTTTTTTTTTTTGGCAACGGGAGTCGCTCATGCACAGAACTAGCTTTCATTCCCGTCCTGGCAACTTTTAACCCTCGGCCATACTTGCAAATTCACACCCCCTCCGTGGTACAAGGGGGGCGGGGGGGTGGATGGAACCCCTTCCCTGATATTTTGATGTGTTGCTGTATTTCGAAACGATTTTGCCTTCAGTCGAAAACCTTTGATCTTCTTAACAAGATAAGGTATATTTCAAGGGTAGTAGCGCTGCTGCAGGCCTGTGACGCAACCAACAGTGGTCGCCATCTTTGCCGCCATCTTGGATTTTACCAAGAATTGGAAATCAGCCAACCCCGAGAAATGGTAATTTTTTGTGCTTTACATGAAAAATAACACATGGATAAGCACTTTTCACGATTGTAGCTACAAGATTTACTATTATTGTCGAGAGAAATTGAAAAAACGTGTATTTTCGCAAGGGATAAACGAACAGCTACTGAAAACTTCAAGTGCTGATGTTTTATCCGCTGGGAAAAAACTCAGGAAAAGCTCGGAGGGTTAAATAGGGTCTTGGGAATTAGGCCTGAAGACCATTTGATTCACATGACGTCACGTCAGCCACACTGGTGTACCAAGGACCTCTAATGTAATGGTATTTGTAATAGGGAGTGGCGTCACAAATGTAATAATGGTCGCAAATACGACAACGGCTAGGAAGAAAAGTTAGAGTTGGTGAAAAGTGTGTTCAGGGTTTCAATTTAGGAGATGGATAAGAAGTGAATTGTACGTAAGATCACGTTATGCGTCTGCAAATGGAGAGGTGAATGTCCTAAGGAATTACACCTTGAACGTTTCTCGAGTAGGATGCAGTTCTGTGTAAAAGAAATGAGAGCAAACTTATTTCGGCGAACAAATTGCGAAATTTCGTTTCCGAGTTGAAAAAGGGACGCAATTTCGGTGCATTTATTGTTCTAACCTCGGTGAAACTTTGCAAACTAGATGATAAATCAACACGAATTTTCGCGGCATCAGACGAAATTAATGGATAATGGTATACGGACCATACACTTTTTTTCTTTTTTAATGGTTGAATTTTTTTTTTATTTAATTATATTTAGATTTTTTAATCAAAGGTTCTTTAAGTATGGCTGCAGATCGCTTTACCCGTTCCTCAGCATTTACTAGTGACAGATTCCATAGACGTCTATGATACAAGTAATCATAATTTTTGTAGAAAGATGAGTAAAAAATATTATTGTTGTTGTCTTTGTTTATTGGTTTAAATTTTATTTTCCTTTTTCGGTGTATTAGTAGTATCCGAACCCTTGAATAACAGCTAGTAGATCCCTCGACCCCACTCGCATCAACGCCCTATGTCGCCCTGCCTTCTCTACAACTGAAAATTTCAGAATTTGGTGATTAATAGCAATTGTAAACTTTTTCTAACTTTCCCGAGAACGCCCCCTAGTGAAAGTTTATTTTTGCTTCAAAGAATCCTGCAATCTTAACTGTATTGATGTAGTCGATGTTTAGACTACCCCTTGTTGGGTTTGTGAAACTAATTACAATATTGGGCCACCCCTTATAACATTTGCTAACTGACCCATTTCTTACATGTAGCACAAAAGTAAACGCTTCTTACGTTTGTGACCTATCCCCATTACATTTGTAACCCTTAATACATTATTTTGGCCCTTGTTACATCTGGCACCACTATTCCTTATTACTTTTCCGACCCTTTCATATGGCACTAGGTGTACCATTCATGCGACCTCAACTTAACAGCCAAAAGATGGTACAGCTTAATATAAGTGCCGTGCGCATCAGCCCGAGTCTATGTGGGAAGATGAAAGAAAAACTATGTATGTTGTAAGGAAAAATTCACTTGCCTTGCCACATTGCGATGAAAACGACTGCAAACAATATTTTTTTCATTCTCAACATTTCCAATCTCTTTCCTTTTCCACTCTGACAAGGCCAAAATCTGAAAAAAAGACAGTAAACATCCATCAAAAGGGAGACATTATAGCGGGACTCCCGCTCTCAGACTTGGCAAAGAGTCTTAAGGCTCATGAATGATACACTTCTTTTGTCTTATTCCCTCAAGCTTAGGAACCAAGTGTGAATTTTAATATATCGAAATTGGTTTATTTAGGTATCCATACATATCAGAGACATTTTGGTAGTCACGTGACTGTAGGTACGTCTGCCCGTCCGTCAGTAAGACGGCATTACAGGCTAACCAATGTGAAATGACATTTTGTGGTTCGTGTGGGAGCTTGCAACCAGCTGTGTTTACTCGATGATAAACATCCATGTTTGGTTAATTGACAACTGTCAGCAAAAGGGTATCCGCTGATTAGTATTGCATGACCATATCGTAGATTCAGGTTTCAACTAGAGGTCAAGTATTTTATTATTATTTTCCGCTGACCAGTTATTTGCTTTTAATTGATCGCAGGCTCAATGTTCTTAGCAGCAATTGTTTCTCGTCTATTGAGCCCCTCCCTAAAACGTCATATGGTCTTCCCCTAATTTAAGGTAAGTGTAGTTTTCTGGATTTCTTTAGCAATAGTTCCAAGTTCACAGGGGCTTTGCCTTTAGCTCTGGCTAAAGCTATACATTAAACATAGATTAACTAAAGGCATAACATAGTAGAAAACCTCTGACAGGTCTGAAGAAGGGTAAAAAATCTCCTACAACACTTACTATTTTTAATTAATACTTTTTCTGTAAGAATACGAATTTGAAGGATTGTAGTCTCATTCGCTGTTCCCCTTTTCAAGAACCAATTTTTACGTAGAAAAAGCCTTGTTCGCCACCCAAATGACAATGATATTATTTTATACTCTTAGATTCATTTGGAGCAGTTAGATATTAAATTCATAACCTTTCAAAGTAAAATGTTGTCATCCTATGCGGACATATTTTTTTCAAGCTCGGAATACTTTGCTCTTTTAGAGAGGAATATATCATGATTGGCTTCAATACCTCGGCTAATTCTTAATAGCAATTCCCCTTTTCTGTTAATTGAAGCTTATTTATGAATATTCCTCAACCAAAACGGCTGAGAATATCGTGGAAACTTGTAGTCACTTCGAGAATATTTCTTACCGGTTCGGTAAATATTAAGTCCTTTACTTTACATTTTCGGAAGGTTCGAAACGCTTAGCAATTTTCTAGAGTTAAAGCACGAAACTCTAGCATAGAAACCGCACAAACACGAAACTTTTTATAACCTTGCAGTTAAATTGCAAAATAAGACAATTCGAAACTGAAATATTTTAAGGGGGTCTCCATCAGCCGATTTCTTCAACTTCCGTTTGTTTGTTTTAAGAATGTTCTATGAGTCAGCACTCACCTTAATGATTTATCCGTGAAAAAGAAAAAAGAAAATTAATAAGACGCACAAGTTCAGTGGAGTAAAGCTGTCTATTTATGGACGCTGCAGGGACATATCCAGGTGTCCGCATTAGAGAGTTTTACGTATTATGGAGATTGGAATTGCGGTAAGAAATTTGATATCTTTGCATGGAAAGAACTGACCATAAAAAGACATGTCCAAATGAGAATTTATAAAGAATTTATAAATGTATTTCTCTCAAAAAATCTAGTAAAAGAATCGCGATTTCCTGACGAAAGGTAAACCAACAAGGAATCCTGCTGCCAGCAAACAAGCATTTCGGGGGTAAAGATGCTCAAAATGAGGTCAATTTATTCCGACCGTTATCCTTAAGTTAAAACCCATCAATAAATAGAAGTCAATACTATGGTGGAAAAATACATAGTTATTATGTCAAAATATGTTTTGTGAATAGTTCGTTTAATATAAACAGGTTTCTGTTATACTCAGCAAATTTGTAACATGGTAAAGAACCAGAAAATCTGACGTAAAAACCAAGTAAAGCGGAAGCCTTTTTTGACCTCTTGGTTAATTCTCAAATAGAAATTTCTGTTTCATCTAAGGATATCAAAGGGATCTCTAGCCATCTTAAACATTTGTATTTTTATTTTATTTTTTAACTGTGCCTTATTATTTGTTTTCATCTACTGAACTTCCGCTGTTCGATCAACAGTCAATTTTAAACAACATGGTTCACACACAAGGCGCAGAATTTTTCACGAAGTATGAATGTTATCAAGTACAAATATTTTTTTATAAGAAAAAATACACTATTAAACAGATTGACTGTTCTACTAAAATAAAAATTATTTACCGTTATGTTATGAGTATCGAACTGGCAGGAGGAGAAGATAAATTCTACTTTGATTCTTTTATACAGATTGAAATACCTTTTTTAAAAGTATCTCAAAGTTAAAAGTCGTTTATCCACGACTTTTTTGCTTGATGAACGTATTTAAACTAACAAAATTGTTGATATCAAGTAACTAACCTTGTACAAAGCCAGGAGGAAATTTCATGACCAAAACCCAAGTCTAAATTAACACCGTTTTATTAAACATCTGCAGGTAAACCCTAAAATTGAGCTCAAAAGGGTCTGACTGCAATAAAGATTAAATAAGCTCAACGAACGTTTTTTTAATGGTGAACGAAATTTAAATACATAATTATCTTCTCTCCATAGGGGCTTGTCAGGGATAATGAAACAAATAATTCAAATGGAAGAAAACAAAGATAAGAACCCAAAATGATGGAAAGCGAACCAGTTGTCTATTTTACAAACATGGCCCAATATTTAAACACGGGAATGTTGGAAATAAATCAAGGAAGCGGTAAGGGCAAGACTTAAACTCGGAACCCGCGGATAACAAGTCCAGCGTTCTAACCACTCAGGTGAGGCTTGAACGATTAAATTCCAACGAAGGTAAAGTATTAGTCTTTTCTATATTGTC